GGAGGTGAAGGCATTAAGCAGCAGTTTGGTTGTTACAGAACAGTCATGGGATGTAAAGTGCAGCACAGGGAATGTAGCCAATAATATTCTACTAACCACGTATGGTGTCAGATGGGTACGAGGTTTATCGGGATGATCACTTAGTAAGTTATATAAAGTCCGATCACTGGGGTGTACACTGAAACTAATATAATATTATATGTCAACTGTAACTGAAAATTAAAAAATTATAATAAATAAATAGCCATTCTAGTGATATCTCTATTGTGTTTTTAATTTGCATTTCCCTAGTGACTCTTTATGTTGAATCTCTTTCCATGTACCTGTTGGCATTTGTAGATCTTCTCTGGAGAAATGTTTATTCAAACCATTGCCCATGTTAAAATTAGATTGTTTGTCCTTTAAGTTGTAAGGGTCCTTTATACAGAGCGAGGCAAAAATAGGTCTACAGTTGTTCATATGAAAAATCATACATTAATTAATAATAATAATACAAGAATAAACTCTGTTTCATGTACACACAACTGTAAACCTACTTTAGCCCCACCCTGTATTTTCTAAATACCAGACCTTTATCGGATATATTATTTGTAAACAGTTTCTCCCATTCTTTTCACTTTCTTTATAGTGTCCTTTGATGCTCAAAAGTTTTTGATTTGATGAAATCCAATTTGTCTATTTTTTCTTTGGTTTCTTGTGCTTGTGGTGTTATATCTAAGAAATTGTTGCCAAACCTTTGATTAGAAAAATTCACCTATGGCTCCTTCTAAGAGGTTTATAGCTTTAGCTTTTACATTTAGGTCTCTGATCCATTTTGAGTTAATTTTTGAATTTTGTATATTGAGAAATTTATTCTTTTTCATGTAGATATCCAGTTATCCCAGCATCACTGTTGAAAAAATTATTTTCTCCATTGAATGAACTTGGTATCTTTGTCAGAAATCAACTGACCATAGACATATGGGTTTATGGACTCTCAGTTCTATTCCATTTTCCCTCACCTTCTCCTTCTAGGTGCCAGGCACTGATACCATCAATAGTCAATAAGCCTTGGTAAAACCTTTAAAGAGCATATGAAGAATTTCACTATTGACAAAGAATCATGACAAGATTGTTCCCATATAGAGCAAACTGATTTCATCCACACATGATGCATTAATTGCAGGCCAAAGAGAACCACAGATGGAAATTAAAGGGACACACACAGAACTACAGGCGCAATATCCTGGGTACAGTCCTATTTCAGGAATCTGCAAGAGTGATTCTGACGAAATATTTTTGCCTCCCACACCACATAAGATGCCCCACATAAGATGCAACCACACTGCTTTTGCAGGGGTGATGTTTAAAATATTGAACTGCTAGGACTGTTCAGGCACTGACCTACTCTTACTTAGCTGGAGGTGCCCTGAGGTGCCCTGCCTGACCCCATAGCTGCTGGGGGAGTGCAAAGAATACCAGGGAAGGGCCAGTGTGCAAAGTGGGGGCCACCACAGGGAAATAGCTATTTACTGACAAATATGGAATGATTTCAATACTTCAATAACTAATGTTCTATATTGACTAGGTACTATCAAATACCAGCTCGGCGTACAGGTGCACTCAGAGACAGCTCTGTACAGGTCCTGTTATGATTTATTACTGTTGGAGTATCCGCAAATGCAGAGCTGGTCCTGTGAGGCTCCAGCTCAAGGCCCTCTGAGGCTCCTTTATAAAACTCTGCCATTCATGGCTCCTGGCGAGGCCCACCCTGGAATCTCTCAGCCCCCGGGCGCCTCTGTGTGCACATTCATGATCCACATGCTCTGCACTCACCTGGGTGCCCTTGATCACAGCGTTGTTCTCCCAGACACCACTGTTCTGTCTAAACATTGCCACCAGGCCAGTGTGCTGATATCGAGGCGCCCCCAGAACCAGGTTTTGCACCCGGCCTCGCGAGATGACTTCGGCAGCATAACCTAAAGAGAAGGGTTTTTTCTTGCAGACCCTGCCCCTCCAGCAGGCTCTTGATAGGTTGGGTAACTGGACCCCACACTATACTCCTCTTTGTTAACATAAATAGAATGAAACTTTGAAATTTTTGTCTTTAAACCTATCCTAAGGGCCTATGAGAGATCCAATAACATCTATACTGGTTGAGTTATACCATATCCTGACCTTTCTTAGAGTAACCCTGTCCTCCCCACTTACCCAAGTAAGCATCGTTCATGTCCGAATCCACCCTGGTTGTGTTGATGAAGGTGACTTTATCCCCGGGCATATGCAGAAAGGCTCCACCAGCCCAGTCAAAGCTCCCCACAGCGCCCAGCAAGGGACCGTTCTGGGAAAGAGAGTAGAATGGGATTGAGCAATCGACAGCTTCAGTGCAATCTCTATCAAAATTGCAATGGCATTTTTCATAGAAGTAGAACAAATGATCGTAAAATTTGTATGGAACCACAAAAAACACCCAAACAACTAAAGCAATTTTGAAAAAGAAGAACATAGCTGAAGACATTACACTTCCTGATTTCAAACTATATTGCAAAGCTTTAGTATTTAAAACAGTATGGTTTTGCCATAAAAACAGACACATGGACCAATGAAACAGAATACAGAACCCACAGATAAACCCATGCATATGTGGTCAGCTAATCTGCAACAAGGAGGCCAAGGATAGACAATGGGGAAAGGAGAGTCTCTTCAACAAAGGAGGCTGGGGAAACTGGGCAGCCACATTCAAAAGAATGAAACTGGCCCGGCCAGGCGTGGCTCAGTGGTTGAGCGTCGACCTAGGATCCAGGCCATCGGGGTTCGATTCCCGGTCAGGGGAGTGCAGGAGGCAGCCGATCAGTGACTCTCTCATCATTGATGTTTCTATCATACTCTCTCCCTCTCCTTTTCTCTCTCTGAAACCAATAAAGATATATTTCAAAAAAGAAAAAAAGAAACAAAGAAACAAAAGAATGAAACTGGATCAATATCTTACACACAAAAAACAACTCAGGATGAATTAAATATTTGAACATAAGCCCTGAAATCATATAACTCCAAGAAGAAAACATAGGCAGGAAGCTCCTTGTCATCAGTCTTGACAACGATTTTTTTGGATTTGACACCAAAGGTAAAGGCAACAAAGGCAAAAATAAACAAGTGGGACTACATCAAAAGCTGTGCACAGCAAAGGAAACCATCCACAAAGTGAAAAAGGCAACCAGTGGGATGGCAGAAGATATATTTCAATCACATGTCTAACAAGGGGTTAACACATCCAAAATATATAAAGAACTCATACAATTCAATAGCAAGAAAACAAGCAACCTCATTTAAAAAATGGACAGAGGATCTAAATAGACATTTTCCAAAGAAGACACACAGATGGCCAAGAGGTACATGAAAATGTGCTCAACGTCACTCAACAAAATCAAAACCACAGTGAGGTATCACATCTCACCTGTGAGAATATCTATCATCAAAAAGACAAAAAATGACAAGTGTTGGCAGGATGTGCACTGTTGTGGGAATGTAACTGGTGCAACCACTGTGAAAAACAAAATGGAATTTCCTCAAAAAATTTAAAAAAGAATTACCATATGATCCAGGAATTCCACTTCTAGGTTATTTATCTGAAGGAAATGAAAACACCCATTCAAAAAGATAGCTGCACCCCATGTTTAGTGCAGCATTATTTACAGCAGCCAAGACACAGAAGCAACCTAGGTGTCCATGAGTGGCTGAGTGGGTAACAAAGCCGTGGTGTATACAATGGAATACTGTTCAGCGATAAAAGAGAAGGAAATCCCGTCATTTGTGACAACATGGATGGACCTGGAGGGCATTAGACTATGTGAAATAAGCCAGACAGAGAAAGACAGATACTATATTATCTCAGTTATATATAGAATCTGAAAAGAAGGGGGGAACTACTCACAGATAGAGAACAAATTAATGGTTGCCAAAGGCAAGGGATGGGGGTAGGCCAAGGGGGTAAAAGAGGTCAAAAGCTACAAAGTTCCAGTTATAAAATAAATCCTGGGCATGTAATATTCAGCATGGTGACCATAGTTGATAATACTGTATATTTGAAAGTTGCTAAGAGAATAAATCTTAAAAGTCCTCACCCCAAGAAAAGAAACTGTAACTGCGCGTGGTGCTAGATGCTGGCTAGACTTACTGTGGCGATCACTTCATTTCCCAGCATACACACACAGAGAATCATGCTGTACGCCTGAGGCTAATACCTTGTCATACATCCATTATATCTCAATTTAAAACAAAAACAAAGAACAGGATTGACAAAGAAGCGAGAAAGGACCACTGGTGCCCATCAAAGAGGTGCCTCCCAAAAAGCACCCACCACAGAGGAGAGCCCCCAGCCCCTGCGCCTCTTCTCCCCCTTCTGGGTACCACCCCACAGCCCAAGGAAGGACCACTTACGGAGGTTATGGAAGTACTGAAGCCCTCCTGACACATCTCATACTCGAAGGAGCTGGTACTTCCTGTCTGGGTACCTGTGAGGAGGGGAACTTTCTGCATTAAAGGCAGGAGAGCCTTGCCCGGCTGGGCATGACTCAGCCATGGAGCATCAACCTAGGATCCGGGAGACCCCGGTCAGGGCACATGGCCGGGTTGGGGGCTGGATCCCCAGTCGGGGGCGTGCAGAAGACAGCCGACCAATGACTCTCATCATTGATGTTTCTATCTCTCCCTCCCTCTCCCTTCCTCTCTCTGAAATCAATAAAGATATATTTAAAAGAAGAAGAAGAAAGAGGAGGAAGAGGAGGAGGAGGAAGAAGAAGAAGAAGAAAGGCAGAAGAGCCTAGAACAGGGGCTGGAAATTCAAATGTTCTGGTGTCCAGCTCCTGGCCCCCTCCCCCTAGGCTGAAGCTGGAGCTGAAGGCAGGCAGGGCCAGGAGCAGCTCGGAGGCAGCGAGTGAATAATAGCTCTCCAAGTCTGCAATAAACAATGGCCTCTACATTGCAGAAAATGGGGCGGAAACAGAATGGAAGAGTAAAAAGGTGCAGAGGCAGAGCCTGAAGGATTTGTAGTGGAAAAAGTATTGTATGGGACTAACGCTTAGTGAACAGGCTGGTGGAGCAGCATCTGCGAAAGACCCACAGATGCTGGCAATACTTAGGACCCTGGGGAAAATTTAGATGGTCCAGAGTCATTGAAGCAATTCTTAATGCTGCAAAATGATGACAGTAAATAAGAGAAGAAAAGAGATGCTGCTGAGAAGCCAATCGAACTGCGATCTCCTGGATCCTAGGTTGATGGTTCAACCGCTGAGCCCCCCCAGCTGGACTAATGTAATCCATTTAAATTGGACCATTTAAAAGCAGCCATATCAGAACCCACATCCATATCTACAATCATAAATGCAAGTTTCTTTGAAAAACCCCTGAAAGGAAAGTTTTGTTGCTACCAACAACCTCCCACCCAAATGAGAAAAGTAGGCAAAGCCTGGCGGGTTTAATTAGACGAGCCAGACCTATTGAAAGGTTCCTCCTGGTGGACCTGAAGGTGAAATCCCTGTGCTACGGTGACTAAAAAGTCATGATTGGTGGAATGTGTAAGACTTGGTTCATGGAAACCTAATCAGAGGGTTAAAGCCCTTGGCAATTTAGGACCTACTGGAATAAATGGGTGAACAAACTTTTACAATCTAAACTCTTGACCTGTGTGCTTCCTCTTTACCCCAATTCATTCCTTACATGTGGGCTCAGGCTCAGTATTTGGGTAACTGGTTCAGCAGAAGCCAGGAAAAACAATAACTTTGTAGTAAACAGAATGCAACACAACTGTATATTATTTACTTCATTGTAAATACTGGTAAACTGTGATCAATAAATAGTTTTCTATTTCTGTAAAACACACATACACACACACACACACACACAAATGCTTTGGTGGCCAGACAAACGGAGGCTCAGGTGAGAGCCATGTTAAACCAGAAAGCATATGCCCCTTTTAAAGGGATGGTGACTCTTTGGCACCAGCCACTTTTTGCCAAGTAGGAATGTGATCCTCAAGGTATATAATCTTCCAACTTAGCAAAAGAAGCCATAAATCCAGATTGTGTGTGAACCTTCCCCCAATTTTTAAATTATTTTATTCAAAAAAAACTTTTATCAAGTACCTTCTATGTGCCAGACACTATTCTATGCACTGGGAAAACAGCAGTGAGCCAAACAGATAGATGCTGACCACATACCCAAATTTTTAGAAAAATACTGTGGGGGGGTTTGGCTCCCCTACCCTCCAATTTTTCAGCCAAGAGTTGCAAAATTAGAGATAAAAGTCTAGATCCCTCTATTCCAAAGTAGCTGACCAAGTGCAGCCAGAGTTGCTGGGAGCTGGAAGGAGTGGAGAGAGCTGATGCTGAGGGTCAGGATACCAAGGAGTAGGAGGTTCTAGTTTCCAGAGAGGAATACATGTTTGGGGGTGAGGGGCTGCCTCTGGGGCTGTTCCAGAAATACGGAGCCTTAGCTCACCCTCAATTGCAAAGATCTTCTCCTGAAGCTGGTTCTGAATGGTCTTCAGAGCTTCAAAGTTGTTCACCCGGAACACATGGTCGCGAGAGGGCTTGGACGCAATGGTATTAAGCTCTTGGCGGGACCTCTCACTGTTGAAGGCAGCTCCCACCTGTCGTCCAGGAACAGAGTCCAAATCAGACGCTGTCTGGGGGTAGCTATCATACCCAGCAAAGAAAATTCTGCAGGAAAAGTATCTGAAACAGCATTTGTCACAAGAGGGGATATACCAGAAGGCCCCTGAAAGGGGCTGCCAAGGACAGCAGAGCAGGCTGTGCACCGTGCAAGGCGTTCTGTGCAGGGGGCAGTTGGGGACTGAAACCCAGCCTCTGGTCCGTGTGCTGCGTGCTGCCTCCTGGGGAAGGGGAGCCTTTTCTTTATATGAAGATGCTTACTTCTTGCCAAGTCATGCACCTTTTTCTACGTCACACAAGGTATGGTGGTAGTTTGACTGCAACGATGATCCCAACCCTTTGCCCATTCCTGTATCCAAGACATTTCCCCAAAACTTTGCTGGGACCCCCCTATTCTTGGCAGAGGAAACTGCCCTGCTCACTGTCTCTGCGTTAAGCCACACGTCTTGCATGTTATTAAATGTGATGCACACAGAGGCTTGAGAGAGTGCTTGCAACGTTTCCACTTGCTCTTTTGCTCCTCTGCCTTCACCCTGAGGACGTGCCCAAGCTAGCCCCCTGGAGGGTGACAGGGCACAAGAGCTGTTCCCACCACACCTGTCCGGCAGGAGGCAGCATCAGCAGGGCTGCCAACCAACCTGCCACTGGCTGCAGATGCATGAGTGAGACCAGAAAAGCTGCCCAGCTGACCCACAGACTCATTTAGTGTTTTAAACCGCTGAATTCGGGGTTAGTTTGTTACACAGCATCATTGTGACAATCGTTAACTGCTACACGCACCTATGGGCTAGCAGTAACTGTCACTGCTTTGATTTTATTGATATTTGCTAATCGAAGGGAGGGTGTATTTAAGCAGAAACCCTTCACAGAAGCATCATTTCCTACCCCAATGACATAGCGAATGACACGCTCTCTGTCAGCCTCGGGGATGACATCGCTGTACTCCAAGGGGTCACCAAACTTTTCTCCATCTGTGATGACAACTAGGATCTTCAGGGCATTCTCCCGGGCTCCGTTTTTGCTGGCAAACAGTTCTCTTCTGCTCAGGGAAGAGGAGGGAAAAGTCAAACGCGACCAGATGGAAATGCTCTTAATGCTGGGGGGGGGGCGTCAGCAGGCACGATGCTGACGCAGCAGGGCTCTGCCTAGGACGGGACAGGCTTGGCTCCCCTGAGATGAGCACTGGCATGTGGCTTCCCCCAGACCTGGAAAGGCAGCAGGAGGCGGGAAAAGAGTGGAGGGGAAAGACACCTTCGCTGCCTTTATATGCTTTTGCATAGGTTGAGTTTTTTAACTATTATTCCTTTTAATTAAAAAGTGTATATATATATGTGTGAGCTTAATTGGGCCTTCATCAGACCTCTCCTGGTTTGACACAATAGGTCTCTAGCTCATCTCCTGCACTTGTGTCATAACCCCCACCCTTGCCTCTTCCCTGTCTCTCAGAAATCAGAGTGAACTTTCCAAAACAAGGGATGGTTACATCTCCCCACTACTTCAGACCTTCAGTGGATCCCCTCTGGCTTTTCAGTTGCTTACAGTGACCTGGTCTCAGCTGATCTTCCTAGCCTCCCCCTCAGCCTTCCTCTCCCTCCCTCCCGTCATTCCCACCTTTACTCACAACTTGTTTTGTCATGAACAGTCCCTCCTCTGCACCTTCAGCCATGCTGTTCCCTCAACCAGAAATATCCTTTACTCCACCCCTGTCTGAACAACTCCCCCCGTCACCTCCTTCTCACATCCCGAGCAAAAAGGGAAGAGCTTACACGACTTTGCGGATTCCCGTGGCAGTGTGTGTCTTCCCGAACAGCTGTCTTATGGGCCTCACCAGTTGTCTCGGGTCAGGGTTATCCCTGAAATCCTTGAAGGTGAAATGAGTCTGGAAGTCTTCGGAGTACTGCATCAAGGAGAACTGGAAACGGGTGCGGCATTGCACTGAACAAGATGCCTCTCCTCCCCCATATCCATCTCCCAGAAAGCCCTGCAGAAAGCTTAAAACACTCCAGCCTCCAAATTCCTCCAAATTCCACTGCCCCCCTCCTCCTGGCCCACCAGGAAAGAGATCTGCCATCAGCTCTCACTGCTCAGCACTAGAACTCAGCCAGAGATGACACGAGGATTTCATGTCCCATGTCAACCCCTATCCAACAGTCAGAGCCGCCCAATTTACAGCCAGTCGAAGTCTGCAGCTGAGGTGTGACCCGGTCGCCATGTCCTCGCCAGCCTTGTCTGGGCTGTTCGCTAACCTACCCATGGGCCCTCACCAAGGTTTTGGACTTTGTGAATTGATTCATCACAGTTGAGACGAAATCCTTCATCTGCAGAAAGTCGTTTGGGATGATGCTGCCAGAGCCGTCGATCAAGAAGGCGATGTCGCTGTCCTGCTGAGGGCACTCTGGGAAGAGCAAAGGGGCAGGAATCGATTAAGTGCTTCAGGTTCAAGTTCTGCAGGTCTGTTATCTGCTGAACAATGAGATTAAATGGCAAACAAGATTCAACCCATGCTCCAAGTTAAATAAAAACGTGGATAAATTGGTACGAAAAAAATTGGTTGATTCTGCCAGAGAGAGCCAGGGAAAGTGGTGATGTCAGAGCTACCTCATGACAAATCAGAAATAACTTGCCAAGAATACAGAAGGAGAAGTCAGTTTCGGGGCAGAGCAGGAAAAGCACAGATAAAGGTGTGCTGGGTGTCCCCCCCACCGCCTCAGCCCCAAACCCACTTCTACCCTCCCCCTCTGCTCTGCACCCCGGGAGCTGGGCCCCATGGTCCACAGCAACCGAACTTTTATACCCTCGGGAGGAAAGTGAGGTTAGAGTTTTCTCCTCTTGGCTCCCTCCCTGCAAGGTGGCTCTAGGCCAGCTGTGCCCCTCAGCAGAAGATCTCCATTCCCAAGGAGGCCACGCCACATACTTTTTCTTCTCTGGATTCTGGTGACTTTCCCCTCTCCTTGTCTTATCAGCTTAGGGGCAGTGACAGCTCTGCTGTCCCTGGGTTCCTGGACTGTCCCTTGTAGTTTAGACCCTACCATAAGTTTATAATTAGTCCCTTTGTAAATGAACCCTCTTCGAATTATCTTAACCAGAGTGTGCCACCTGTTCCGGTAGAGACCCGGCTGGCACAAGGGGGATGGGCCTAAAAGAGTTCTGGCAGAATCCAGGAATGGAAATGGAACTACCAGGGTAAATCTACATGTGGTGATGGAGGCAAGGCTATGACGTTAAGCAGGGAACAGCTGCTTAAAAGAGCCTCTCTACCCCCAAAAGAAGCTTAACTTTACCCCGTAGGCAGTAAGGAGACACTGAAGATTCTTAGGAAAGGAAGTGAGGTCATCTGTTTGTTGTTTTAGAAAGGTTGCCATAGCAGTGAAGCGTTTTAGCAGTTTTATTCATGATGTGAAACATTGGAAAAACCCCAACACCCTTCCGTGGGTGAATGGATGAAACAGTGAGTGGAGCTCTGGTAAATCCATGCAATGGAAAAGGGGGTAAAAGGAAAGAATTACGGACACGCCCAGCAATATGGGTGACTCCCAAATGCAAACTCAAAAGGTTACGATTCCATTTACGTATCATTCTTGAAAAGACAAACTATACAGTGATGGAGAACAAGTCAGTGAGTGCCAGGGGCAGAGGCAACTGGCCACGAAAGCACGCAGGCTTTAGGGTGGCAGTGGAACTCTTTTGTATCCTGTTCGTGTTGTTGTTTACACAAATCAATACATATCTTAAAATTCATGAAACTGTACACTAAAAAGAGTCCTGGGGGTGTAAGGTACAGCACACAGAGTACAGGCAGTAATATTGTAATAACTATGCCTGGTGTCAGGGGGTAATAGATTCATCGGGGTGATCACTTCGTAAGGCATATAAGTGCCTAATCACTATGTTGTACACCTCAAACTAATATAATATTGTATGCCAATAGTAATTTAAAAATAAATTGATTTTTTTAAAAGAAGAAAAAAGGTCAATTTTACTGTACGACATTGAAAAATAAAATTAAATTACCCAAAAAGTATTGGCTTTTTGAAAATAACCAAGCAGCCCAGCCAGGTAGCTCATTTGGTTGAAGTGTCGCCCTGTGCACCAGAAAGGCTGTGGGTTTGATTCCCAGTCGGGGACATACCCAGGTTTCGGGTTCGATCCCTGAGAGGCAACCGAACAATGTTTCTCTCACATCTTGTCTCCTTTCTGTCTCTCTTTCTCTCTCTCTCTTCCAAATCAGTAAGCATATCCTCGGGTGAGGATTTAAGAAAAACTTAAAAAATAAACAAGCAAATTCTAAGGTTTATATGGAACATATACAAAGGTTAGCCAGGAAAAAAAAATTTTTTAATCTCAAAGATATGTTAAAATAATCAAGATACAGTACAGTGCGTATAGCACACCACCACTGTGATACAAGGTGAAGAATTCAGGTTTGTATGTGTTTGTAATACATGGAGTATCTCCGGGGGAAGACACGAGACACGAAACAGTGGCTGCCCCCCCAGAAAGCAAACAGAAGGCTGGGCGACCCAAGAGGAGAGAATTTTACAGTTTATCCCTAGTGTCTATTGAATTTTGAACCAAGTGCATCTTAAAAGAAATAAAAAATTTTCTTTTTTTTAACTTATCTTTATTGTTGAAAGTATTACAGATGTCTCCTTTTTCCTCCCATTGATCCCCTCCACCCTGCATCACCCCCAGGCCTTCCCCATACCAATGTGTGCGTCCATGGGTTATGCTTATAAACATGTAAGTTCTTTGATTAATCTCTCCCCACCTACTCCCCC